CAGTAGTTGCCACGCTTGGCAAGTGGATTAGCATTCGCAGTTAGGCTTTAGAGATGTTTTGAGAGGGACGCTGCTACCCATACCTCGCCTTCCTTAATCGCCTCTTGCAATTTATATTTAATAATTTTAGTAATAATATAATACGAACATAATGATTTCCATGTGCGAATCTATTACAAATGTACTATGATAAAAAACGAGTTATTTAAGCATTCTAAGGCATTCGCATTGATGTTTTAGGCAGATATAGGTACCTGTTTATCTTTATAACGTCTACGTGAGCATCATATTGGATCATGTGAATGTAGCTTTGGTTAGAAATAATTCTACATAAATGGCGCAAATGCTAAATTTGAAAATTATTTGTAAAACAGTAAAATAGTAGTGTATAAAATATAGTATTCGTTAGTATGCAATAGCATTTGGGGTTTTCCTTAATTTTACCCAACTATCGAAGAATGCAGGTTTATATTTTTAGAAATCCTATATCCAAATTCTTGGTGAAAAATGTAGCTTGATTGATTTTAATAAATAGTAATGTTAAATTACGACAGTATAAAATGAATATAGCGGTTAAAGATTATTAAAAAATAAATTACCATACAGATTTGCCATCTTGGAAAAAGTAACCTATTATTTTTCTCCTTTTCCATCAGAAGAGACCTCTATGTTCATGAGTGGGCCCTTAATGGAGTTATTATGAAAACTTAAAAAAATTGCAATATTTATCAACACTGATTTTTTTGTGATTGTCACGTCCTATCAAGTTCTTACGATAATTGAATTTTAGCTTCTCTTATATATAACGTAGTAAAGTTGGAAAAACACATGTGTCTTTTTGCATCACATGTTTTGCTGGTAAATGGAATTTCATTTATTATTACAGAGAAAAGCCAATTAAAGTCACTCTCGTGTCAGTTGGCGATAAAAGTAGAATTTAACCCCCAAGCGACTTCATGATTGCATCGAAGAGCTATAAGCTATTATTACATTTGACACAAGTTCTTACAGAATTTATAAGTATAATATTTTTATACCTGTTGAGTTTTTTCTATCTGAAATTGTAAAAAGTTTACAAAATTTGACAATGTCTGTTTTTTGTAACTTTCACATCTAACCATGTTTTCTCGGTATATAAAGATCACGATATTCATATTTAAAGCTTTTCTTGTATACTTAATACATAGTAAGGTCATAAACGCCGTTTGGTTTTGACATAGAATAAACAACTCCTTCTTTTCACATCTTTAAAACTAACTAACTGCGATTGCCAACTCGCCAAGCATAGCAACTACTGGCAAAACTCCCCTCATGGGGAAGGCTTATGTTCAGTACGTGAATGGTGATGTGAAGAAAGAATGAAAGAGGGACGACATGTTCCTTACATTTCACTAATTGATGATTTTTGGAAAATTATCTTAGTTAAACATATTGAATTATGTGGGTCAAAGCTTTAATGTTTTATTTTAATAAAGTTTCTAAAGACAGGAAGTATTTATAATGTTTACTATACGTAATAAAAGTAAAAATTTCTACGCGATAGAAAAACTTGATACAAGTAAAGACCGCAATTTTATACTTTAAAGCAATAACAATAGAAGTTTACGTACAGAAAGGAAAACTTTAAATAATGTTCTTGCTGGATAGAACGCGTTCTTTAACGATACCAAGAAGTGAATAGTGTACCTACTATTTATATACTTGTATATAGTTTGTGTACTACACAAACTGAAATCGATTGTTTTCTTCTGTGTAAATTTATATGTATAATAATTACCAATTAATGTAATTGGTTTTAATTATTGTCTTTTGTAATTGAAAGCTTTACGTTTAGGAGACTATCCTGGTCTTAATCTTATTTTTTATTATTAAAATAATCTCTATCTTCAGTTCATGACATCATCAACATTATACACGATCGGTTCACAAAATCGTAAATAATCCCAATACCAAGGTTTTGCTTTTTTTTTTTTTTTTTTATACAACTTAGAATGGCAAACAAGCTGACGGTCCACCTGATGGAAAGTGGTAACCGTCGGCTATAGACATGTGCAGTACCACGGACATAACAGAGTGTACTGTTGCGCCCATTATACCCCTCATGCGCTGCCATTCCTGAGGACTCAGGTATTATTCTTCTGTACCCAGTAAATTCACGCCAGTTAAAAAATTGCTTAGTTTACTTTTATATTTCATATAAATTATTATAATCCTGTAGGTTATACACTCCTCGCAAAAATTAAGGGAACATAAAATTTTTTGAAATTTTTGAGTGATTTTCAACAGGCTGTATTTCAGTGAAAAATAATCGTACAGGAAATTTAAAAAAAGGGTTTTGAAGCTTCAAAACTCTAGTTTTCAGATTTTTTAGTGAAAAAATTTTTTGAGCTCCGGTTTCCATGCAATTCTTAAACAAAGCTGAAAATAATTTTTTTCTAAATTTTCTAGGTTTTGTTTTTCACTCTATGGGCATGGAAAAATTTTTTCAAGCTACTCCATTGTATAGGTCTCTTAGTGTGTTTATTCAGCTTCAAAAATCGCTTTGGATGGCTCAATTACGACCATTTGTCTCCGAGATATCGAACTTTGAATGCAAAAGCATCCTTTTCCATTCAACTGCTAATATCTCTGGAACTACTGGTCGCACAGCAAGCGGGCGCCGAGTTTCTTTATCTGCATACAATTTCCAATTAAGCACAGTCAAGAGTTAGTGAAGAAAAAATTTTTTTTTCACATCTAACATTGAATTGAAAAAAGTGGAAAAAAGTGACTTTTTCTCCTTTTTTGGTTACTTGGCTGTATCTTCGCTAATATGGGCGGGAAAGCTAAGGTTTGAGGAAAATTTTACAGTCTATTGTTCCTTAAAGAACCCCCAAAATCCCTGGAGCGATCGGTTCAACGGTTTTTCCCGGACCAATTGATTGAAATTTTGGAAAAAATAAGGGAACAAGGTTTTTGTCCCTTAAACTCACCCTAATCCATTCAAAAATCAATAATTTCATTTGTTTTTCACTTTTTACTCAATTTTTTGTTTTTTAAAAATTCATTATCAAAAAAAAAATCGAAAAAAATCAAGAGAATTTTATGCAGATAAAGAAACTCGGCGCCCGCTTGCTGTGCGACCAGTAGTTCCAGAGATATTAGCAGTTGAATGGAAAAGGATGCTTTTGCATTCAAAGTTCGATATCTCGGAGACAAATGGTTGTAATTGAGCCATCCAAAGCTATTTTTGAAGCTGAATAAACACGCTAAGAGACCTATACAATGGAGTAGCTCAAAAAAATTTTTCCATGCCCATAGAGTGAAAAACAAAACCTAGAAAATTTAGAAAAAAATTATTTTCAGCTTTGTTTAAGAATTGCATGGAAACTGGAGCTCAAAAAATTTTTTCACCAAAAAATCTGAAAACTAGAGTTTTGAAGCTTCAAAACCCTTTTTTTTAAATTTCCTGTACGATTATTTTTCACTGAAATACAGCCTGTTGAAAATCACCCAAAAATTTCAATAATTTTTATGTTCCCTTAATTTTTGCGAGGAGTGTATGATTATAGTTATAATAATACTAGTATTTTGTCCGTGATATCGTCCGTGTAACCGGGATAAAAAGTAGCCCAAGTATAGTACTGACAATTAGTTGAACTGTTAATACACCAAGAGGTTATGACCCTCTCTCATATTTATATTAGTAAAGATATACTTATCGTAAACTATCAAAAAGTTATAGTTGGTTTATTTTGTCACATGAATTTAAATCTTTTATAGATAAATGAAAGCTTATATATATTTAAATTCATTGACTTGGCCAATTTACAAATAAGACCATGGCGCAGTTAGACCGAATCTGGGTAGCTGACAGGCAAATATAATGAACGTTGCTGGATACAACTACGCTTTTGGCTTCCAGCCATACAAATGTGGTGTCGCAATTCCATATATACATGATGCATGTCATATCAATCGATCTGTTAAAATTTTTTAATAGCAAATATGATAAATTTATTTTGCTCTCAAAAGAAAAACGGTAAAATCAATCTTAATAAATTAAAAATGGGATCAACACAGAGATAAACACTATCAGTTGCAAAAGTTATTGTTATAATTGGCTTGGAATTTTGCGACATAATCGCATAATATAGTTGCAAAAAATTCAGCCTTTATGTAAACCTCCTTCTTTGAGAGTTGTTTTATAAATTTATTTACAAATATTTAGCGTTAATTAATTTGAATATGTTGTTTTGTCTATGGGCGATAAATATCACTTTCCATCAAGTAGGCTTGTTAAAAATTCCAAGAGGCAAAAAAACATTATCTAACTTGTATATGAATAATCAAAATTGTATAAATGAACAAGCATACCTATCAGTAATAGGTATGCTTGTTCATTTCATCATAATATTACTGAAGTGACGAACAATCTGTTCCCGGAAACGAAGGACAATTGCGGTCGACCGCTACCACAGTTCTCTGATTACTAAACTCAGGGGTTGTAGCTATACATTCAGCTTTTGCAAATTGTGCGTTAACAACCAATTGTATGTATATTTATATGAAATATCACAGTTTAAAGAACTCTTTTCTGAATTCCCTTGCTCCTAACACTATGGGAATATGATAAAATATAAAAATATTTAAAAGTATTTTATTAAAAAAGTATAAATCGTAATTAGTAAATTTAGGGGCTTATATGACATATTAGCTATATATAACCTTTATAAATCTTTATTATTGTTGCAGAAATATAAAATAACATTTAAAAATTTGCCATTTCTGTATGTGAGTTGGCAGGTATTATATTTTTGTAAAGATAATTTCCTTAATGGGGAAAAGAGTAAATAAAGGCAAGGCAACGAGGATTCTACTATTTCCCATAGCTGTGTCTGCGTGAACTTGTCTTATGTTCCCATAGGAATTTTCGGGAAACATACTACTGCGAGTGTGAGGTGTAATAAATCACGTGTTTTGTTTAACTTTTAGCTTACACAATGTTTTATTTGTTTCAGGACGAAAGGTTTAACCACGATATCGATCAACAAACGGGTTACAAAACAAGATCTCTTCTGTGCATGCCCATCAAAGATATCAACGGAGAGGTCATTGGTGTCGCCCAGGTATGTATAAATGATTTTTTTTTTCTGATAGTTAATTAACCTATTATTCTCGCTTATGCGGAATTTTTCCTGACTAATATTAAATATCGACTTTGTTTTTTTTTTTTAAGCAACTTAAAATGGAAAACAAGCTAATGGCCCATCTGATGGAAAGTGGTTATCGTCGCCTATAGACATGAACAGTACCATGAACATAATAGAGTATACTGTTTCGCCCAAGATACGCCCAAAGCTTTGCTATTTCTGAGGACTAAGATGTCATGCTTTTGTACCCTAGTCATTGTCGCATCTTAAACTTAAAGGCTTAACCAATCGCTTCGATATTTGGTATACACGTACTATACGAGATTGAGATGGACATAGGTTTTTTTTTTATCTCGGACAATGAATATATCGTAGTCGAGCGAAAGAAGTCGCGAGTAACAATTAGTCCCTTAATAAATTGAAATATTAATAGAAGTATAAATTAAATATGCTCCAGGATATAATCCCAGATGAGATAATCGGAGGATTTTTGTCGAGTGTTACCATTGGGAGGAACATCAGTGTCGAACCTTACTCATTTGTATATTGTAAATCACAAGGGAATCCTATCCTATAAAACAGTGTTGTTTTATGATGAAACAGAACAATGACGTGATTTCTACCGTATAATAAAGAATAATAATATTTATTAATTATGTATATAAGTAATACTTTAAAATTTAACTTATTTATTAAATTTAATATTTTTAACGTTCACTTTGTACTAGCTTTTACTAGCGGCGAGCGAAACTCACGTTAATATTGATTTTGTTTAACAATTCTGATTGTACCCACAATCAGAATTGTCAAACAAAATCAAGGTAGACAGTAAGTAGATATAAAATAATTACAAATTGGAACCCACCCCCTTTAAGGAGTATTTTCACAAAAGAAATAAAAAACCTTAATTATGCATTAAAAACAATAATTTTGCAAAGTTTGTAGCAAATCTGACGACGCAATAAAAACTTTCACACAAAAATTCAGAATTATTCGGAATATTACATATCGCACACAAAAATATTATTGAGTAATTCCTTTTTAGAGCCTTACAAACCACGAGTACCACTAACCAACAGTTAAAAATATGTACATAACTCTAAATTGTATTTTCAGTTAAAAGTATTACACTTAGATATATACAACAAAATAATTAATACGAAACTTTTATGTCCAGGTGATAAACAAACAAAACGACGGTCCATTCACCGCGTACGACGAGAAAGTATTCGCTTCGTACCTCCAGTTCTGCGGTATTGGTTTGCGCAACGCCCAGCTATACGAAAGATCTCAACTAGAAGTTAAGCGTAACCAAGTGCTACTAGACCTGGCAAGGATGGTCTTCGAGGAGCAGAGCACGATTGAGCACATGGTGCTAAGGATACTGACCCACACGCAGAGTTTAATACGATGCCAGCGGGTACAGGTAATATTTACTTTCTTTAATTTTGATAACATCTTACTTTTTATGACTTGGAATGGTAAACAAGCTGACGGCCCACCTGATGAAAACAAAATTGTTTCCGTATAAATATGTATAATTGTTACCAATGGAAGGTCAAATTACAGATATAATTTGCCATACAGTTATAATTTGTCAGGTGGACTCGCCATATTAGTATGAGTCTTAATTTTTTTTTATCAAGGCTTTCTATATTTGGCCAACGGTTCAAATGAAGAAAAAAAAATATTTCTTTATATTGCAAACTATCAATATATTCCTATATAGCAAACGCAGTTGCTCATTTAAAATAGTATATTATACTAGCAAATTTTTTTTCGTCAAGTCCTCCAAAGAAAGCGCTATAAAATTTCAACGTTCTAAAATGTATTATAAATCCAATCAAGCATTCTCAAGATTCGGATCTGCCTAATTTGATCTGCATAATTCATTTTAAAAGCAATATCCTGAATTTTAAGAAATTAAGTTGGTCTTTTCATCTTTAATAAATACATCAATCTGAAGTTAATAAATTTTTCCATTATACTCGAAAAATACTGGTTGTAATCAACAGATTTGCTCGCGTGAACTAATTAATTTAATTAATTATTTATTAATCTAGTCTAGAATACAATTAATTTATATAAGTACTTGATATTGTTAAACTCCATTGAACTCTTTTAAAATTTAATATAGACATTCTCATTTACAATTTTATTAGTATGGGATGTACTAATGTAATCCATTACTCTATTACTTTTAGGTCATAGATTTGCTTTATTTGTATTTCGTTTTAAATAACACATAGTGCCATTTTGGTATTGAAAATAGGCATGGGTAATATTCAACTTATCCCATATCTATATATTAGATTCCTCTGGATATTGATGGCGGATAAAAGATCATCACCCGTTTCGATGTCGCCCATATCGGTCAAATATCTATTTTTGAATATGTCTATTATCCAAAATTATTTTTTGGATATCAGACTTTTAACATATATGTAATTGGATCAATATATAGATATTGCTATATATTACCCACCGCTTATTGGAAATAATAACTATATTTTTGTTTTCCTTATCAATACACACCTATAAATCGTGTAAGTTTATATATGATCTATGGATACGATTCACTCTCATAAAAATTAAAAAAAAAATTAAATGTTTTGCGACGAATCCTTTGTAGACATTCTAGATACTTTTAATCTAATGTTAAAATGTCTGTATTCTTTCAAAAAATTTCAAGTATCCGCAACATTTGTAACAATATATTTCATTCTAAAGTCCCTTATTAATGTATTACTATATATAAATGAATGAATTGGGCCGCTTTTGAATAAACATTGGAAAAGGCGAAAGGTGTAAAATTTACATTATCGATATTATTCATAAACCCAGATGAGAAATTGCTCTCCGATTTGTGTATTTTATGGGACGGGGCTTTATTAGGCATCTATCAATTTTGTTTTTAATGGATTATAATTTTTATACGACCGATCTTCGTATAAATATTTTAATCCATTGCAAAATCTCCACTATAGACAATAAACAAAAAAATAAAATAAAGAATATATAGAATGCGAAGAATTTTGTAAAATGATTTACATCTAGGTTCTGGGTTATGTCTACAGAACGTTATTATTTAATTTTTCATAATACAATACGTTACAGCACGGTACTGAAAATAAAAGGGCTTTCAACCATATTATGTACTGGATCAATTAGCCAGTATTTTATATAGTACCTGGTTAGAAAGAAATTAATTGCACCACTTTTATATTACACGTTCAAATTTTAAAAAAATATACTTTTTGACCACAAACTTGACTTACAATATTTTTTAAGACGGAAATTTAATTGTTATTAGACATGAGATATGAAATTTTGTTAAAATTAACATTTATTTTTCATTATATATATATATATATATATATATATATATATATATATATAATCATCAACTCATTCAGCTAGTAATATATGTATAATACTAGCTGAGGGTCAGCTATCAGCAAATATTGTTGTTATCTTTATAGTTGGAGTAAACAATACACATATACAAAATTTTATAAAAATCGAATCAGTGCTTTCGTGAAATCTGGCAAAGGAATATCGTGATATGGTATTTTTATATATTAACATATAATTGGAAGTGTACCTAAGTATACTTCACGAAAATCTACAAGCCAATATTACATAAACTATATGAAGTGATATTGATATTATTAGACAAAGAGAGTTCCAACAGAGGTTACGAAATTTACACAATAATATTTGCGAAATTAGCTTCAGATACCATGTTAACGTGAGTTATTGTATCAAACACACCTATGGCATTATTGTCTTTGTTCTGTAAATTAATTTTGACATCAAAGGAAATCTCCATTAATATCAACTAGAAGCCACGTCATGGTATAAGTTTATATAATATTGCTTAATTTTAATAATTATTAAGGTTATTTCCGATTGCAGATTACCGTTATAAATACGAGAATCTATAAAATATTTAGATTAATTAGTTTGTTATACAATCACGTTTAAACGACTCATCTGACTCGAATGTTTAACACGCTTGGACTGTATCCTGGATTAATGACACATAACAATAGTCTACACGTAAATTTTGCTCGCAACAAGTAGTTTTTTGTTTTTTAAAGAAAAAAAACGGCATCTTCTGTAAACGAATACGTGAGTAAACCTATTTATTGCAAATAGAATTGTAAAAATCCGTTCAGAAATAGCGATATAATTGCGTAACATCAATATAAAAACATTAAACGAATTAAGATCCTTCTTTTTAGGAAGCTGCATAATAATGTAAAAGTTTGTAAAGGTGTTAGTTACTTAATAATGGCGTTACATTTTCTATTGATGTAGTTAAAATCAAAGGTTACTTGGATGAAATCGCGTTTAGCAATAACGCTGCCTATTGTTTTCTTACTGTGATCTTTTCTTGTAATTGTTTGTCGTTATGATAAGTTCACAGTTGTAATGTTTTAGAAGAAACAGTAGCGTAATTTCTAGTCACCTATCTCTCGTTAGTAATCTCTGTTTAATCGACGTCCATCCGTGATGATAAAATTGTCTCTGGCTGGCGCCACACTCACCTCCATTCATCGATTCATGCTGTCAGTTAAGTACTAATTGATAATTAAGGGTCATTAGAGATGTACTAGTTTGTTTCTCAAGTACGACAATTTTCATATCAGAAATTGGCCGTTAGGTCAGTTTCGCATAATGTATGACTTTGTTCTATCAACTAAATCTAGTAACAGTGACAAAACTAGTAATACGGCACTAATATGAGAATATATCCTATTTTTTGAAAAATGAATATCTAAATCCGTTTAAAATACTAAAAATGCATTTAATATAAGAATTCTGACTTCTTAGAATTACTTAGAAATGACATTCTAATCCAATCTCTGCAAATAAAATACAATCTTTACTAAATGAGAGATATTCTAGAAAACGATAATTCGTTCTAAACCAAAATAAAACAATTATTATTTACAAGAATCGAGAGGCAATGTTTTTGTATTTTAACAAATAAAAGTTTTATGTGTCTAAATAAAGAAACGTTTAACGTCAAAATGTCGTGGCCAATATTCACTGTAATAATATTATTCAAAAGGTACTTATATATTTAGTATCCCATAACTTGATCAATCGCGTTGCCGCTTCAATGCCGCATACTTTGAAATTCAACTGGCGAGAAAAATTTCCTTTGAAGAAAACCAAAACGTTTTGGTGAAATATATTTTCTTTTCGATACTTTAATGACTGCCTATAAAAGTTTCTTAACTCAATCTATGGGTAGATATGGTTGGAATAAAAATGTTTATTTAGGGATTCGTGTTTGCAAAATAACTGCGGGGTAAGTTCCCAAGTGACCACTTAAAAGCGGACAAAAAGGTAATAGTATATTCACGCCTACAAGCTTAATGTTAGACATTAACCCAAAATGACTCTGCAAAATATCTGTTCAGCTTTGAACACCCTCTAAACAATGTGAAGCATGAGAAAATCTGGAGAAAAGGGTGGCATAAGTCCTAATGAGAATAGAAAAGGATCAGCAACGTGCAAAATCCCTACTCTTGGGAAATCTTGAAGAAAGGTTGTTAGATACTTCAGGCGATTTTTTTGTAAAAACTATTTAGCATCATTCTAGTTCAGCTTAAACATTTATTATTTGAAATAACTAAAATATTTACACTTCCACTTTAAATATTGCACAGTTAGGTAGATTTCTTACTCTAATGCCTACATTTATAACAAATATTTTTTACTCATCATATTTTTGAGTAATATAGTATTCACTATGAGGAAATAATTTTTCATTAATATTTATTATAAATACTTTACTTATGTACGTATACTTAATAAAGTTATTTTTTATTGAAAATTACGTCTGTGCATTATTTTAAAAAGTGAAAGTAATTGGTAACAGAAATATATTTTGCATGTTATTTTAATTTTATCGAAAACCTATAAAGATTAGGATTTATCTGAGTTACAGAGTTCTGTCGCTTACTAAGAAAAATCTTTATTATTTCAAAACAACATGTATCCTCAAGTTCTGTGATGAAAGAACTTTGAATGTTCTTGCGATGTCCAAGTTTCTATTTACGAATACGAATTAAAATACTTTTGTAGGAATGAAAAATGTTTAAAAGACTTTTTTAGATTTGTTTCCAGATCATAGAAATTTAGATGGAGTGTAAAATCCCAAAAAAAAAATTATGAAACATTTTTCGGTCACAAAACGGTCAGACCATTCTTTTGACCTAAAAGGCAATTAAACAATAAGTTAACATCAGTAATATAGTCGATTAAAAGAAATAAATTAATATCGATATTTAAATTACCGTAATATATTTCTAATTTTGGATAAGTAATTGTAGCTCGAAGCAATGGAAAGTTCAGGAAAATCTCTATTATCGAAAAGTATTTTTAGTAGATCAATATTTACTAATTTAATTATATCAGACGATACGATTTACAATAAAATTTGCATTTTCAAATCGGGTCTGAAAATTAGATTAAATCGGTCGTTTATAAACGTGAACGGAAATCAAATTTAATTTCGGATGAAGTTACTGTTGTTTGAACACCAATATCGGGCTCATATTACTTGGGGTCTATTCTTAAAGTTACCTTCTAGTTTATTTAGCAAATCCTTTACAATTTAACTAGAGTTCTCATAAATTTTATTAGTAATATAATATTAATAGGCTGCAAGAAAAGACTGGTCAGTTGGAAACAGAAACAATGTTAAATACATTATTGAAGAAATATTCAATTTCTTGTGAGGGTGAGTGTATAATGTTGATTGTAGTAAAGGTACAAGATAAGGACGAATTTGTAGGATAAAAACCATCAATTACAAGATTAATACAATTACTCAAGATAGTCATTTAAAAAGTATTTTGGCTGGTTTTGTCTAAGTTTGTTTCGAGATATTCTATCTAGATATTCTAGATCAAGATATAAAAGTTGTCTTTAAAACTGTCGTTAAAAGGATTTTGTGAGCTTTGATAATTTTTAAATAAAATGCTTTTTGTAAATTTTGAAATAACGTTATATAATAAACGCTGTCTCCACGTGGGTGTTTCAGCATCCCTTAAATCTGTTTCCTTCGAAAGACCTTACCTCAATTTCTTTACTAAAGACTCTTATAATAAAGGTCGATTGAATTATTAGACCTTTTTAGGGTTCTGTAGTCAAATGAGAGACAATCATTATTTCCATCCGCATGTCTGTCCCTTCGTACGTATTAGCCGTCTTGTTCAGATTATTAGAGCTGTAATTTATTACAATTACGTAGTGAATTGAGGGCATACTCATCATATATTACATATTTCACATCATAATTCTCCTACATAGATAATTTTGTTGTACCTGCCAAAATTTCCTGTGATACTAGATACGTGTAAATATTATTTTTAAGACGTATAGTAAACTAACGAATTCAACTCGGCTGGGTAGCGTTCGGAAAACTATGCCATATCTTTTCATCCAAAGACAAGTTTGAAGACGAAGGTATTTAACCAGTATGTGTTGCCGTAAAAGTGGTAAATCACATTTATATTTGTTATTATAGACATTTTTGGATATTTTAACAAGTATCGCTATTGTGAAGTGACCTATACTTATATTATATTTAAAGCGGGAAAATGTTTTAAAGTTAAAAAGGAATTATTCGTCATGAAAAATTCAAAACACTCTTTGTTATATTTGATTCCGAAATCTCCATTTTCACTTAGAAAACAATATTCCACAAGATTCAAGAACTTACTTTACAGAATCTACTATAATTACTTTTAAAAATAACTCGAATAATTGCTGCGAAATTTTAGAGAAAACGAACAAAGTTATTCGTGAAGACCGTAAATACGACTTTACGCTCTAAAAATAGGACTTACAAATGTTTTAAAGTTGTTACGCCAAAAGACTATTTTTGTACCTAAAAGGGATGATGCCTTTATAACAATGTATTTTTTGGACGCTGTTGATTTCAATATTTAATTAAATTTAACTAAATTTAAAATTTATACCAGTGCTATAATATTTAAATAAATTTAGATGTGAATTATAATTTCAGTTTATATTTGTAGTACATAGTAACAATGAAATCGTACTAAGAATAATCGGCGTTTAATTAACAGCTACAAAATGTAAGAGATTTTTAATTGGACTGTAATTTTGCACTACTACTGCCCACTCACTACTTCGTATGCCACTGTGTTAGGTTGACTGGAAGAAATCTCTTTTAGAGATAAGTTCGCCTTTGCTAACATTGTTATTAACTTATTGTTGTTACTATATGTTTTAGTGCAATAAAGAATATATATATATATATATATATATATATTTTAAAGAAATATCTTGTTAGATAAAGTAGATTAGAAAAATCTTTGCATTTATTTTAATTTGATGGTAAAATATGTGTTCAGGTAGCTAGTTCCTCGTTTTTTTTTCTTCTGATGAACCACATTAAAAAATGTAAACATTTAAATTTTTTGAAGATTATTATTATTTTTCTAATGAATTATGCTAATATTTTTAATCTTTGTGTGAAAATCAAGTTTTAATATCACGTGTAATTTTTTTGTACTAAAATGAGCATAGTTTTATCCTGTTAAAATTCTTTGTCTCATTCCAGTTTCCAAGTTAAATTAATACTTTGTACGTTAAAATTATGTTTGACCTCAATTTGCATTTAAATGAACAAGCCCACGAAACTACACAGCACTGCGTTTAATTTGCGTTTTCAGATGTGTTTTAAGTAAATCAACATAGGCTGTTTTTCTCTCACCATTTAAACATACATAAAAATAATTTTATTCAGTTATAGACACTTAAATTGTAATTATGCCATAATTTCCGTACCGAGTATATACGTTGGTGTGTGTGAATAAGATCTCAGATTCTGTTTCGAGGCGAGTCCGTTTAGAAATTATTTTTTTTATAAAATGGTCTGTATCCGTGTATTCTGGATTGTGCCTATAGATGTTCATTGTTAAAAGAAGATATTTTTTGTGAAAATAATATGATTGCTACAATGAAAGCTGTATATTATATATTTAATTTCTTTTATTGTGCAATAAAGAGTTTTAAACAATCCAACAAACGAACTTGATAGTTGAACACACTATGTATAAATATGTGTGTGAGATGTGTGCATGTGTGAGAGACTTACATTTTCATGGGTTTTCGAGAAAAATAATTCAATTTTATTCATAGAATACTTTTTTAAAAGGATGCTAATGGTTTTGATGTCATTCTTATAATCATTGGCGTATCGAGAGGGGGTTGGATCCTGAGATTTTTGAGCCAAAGTGCTTTGCTATCGGGATACAACATAGTGAAAATGGGCAGGGATTAGTTGACATCTTAAAAAAAGAGTGCATATGTACACATAGACATGTCTTTACAAAGTTTTACTTGCATCTTGGAGTGGGCACAGTACAACTCTTGCCGCCCCTATTAAATGCGCCTGTGCTTTACGCATGTTTATATTATGACAGGTACTCTTGGTCCATGAGGCGTCGAAGGGCAGTTTCTCACGGGTATTCGACCTGGAGGCGGGTGACGATGCTGAACCCGGTACACCTCGGACATCCCCCTACGAGAGCCGTTTCCCCATCAACATCGGCATCACAGGCTACGTAGCTACAACTGGCGAGGTAACTTCTTCTAATGTATTTTTTTTTTATTTTGACATCAATCATAGTAGATTTTTTTATTGTTAGGGAGGCAAATTACGAAAATGAGGGATCACATGATGAAATGCGACTTTTGTCGCCGATGAACACCTGTAACACGAGAGAAGGTGCTTGTGCATTATCGACTTTTTAAATGTTTGTAGGCAGCATTTTTGAAAATTCACCCACCACAATGCTCAACATCTTTGCTTATTACTATTTCGTGATATCTATAAATAATTTTTGAATTAAAAGAATTTTTGAATTATATAAACTAAGAAAGAGTAAAGCCCAAAAGTAACTTTTGTATTTTTTTTATATAAAATAAATAAAGTTAATAAATCGTTTTCTGAGAAATGGTTAAAGGATTCGAGTAAGCTCGGCCAAATATAAGTCGAATTCAACGTTTAAATTAAGGTCGGCAGTGAAAATAGAAATGGTTTTAGATAAAAAAAAAATACTACTAGAATTTTAATGGTGGGCTATATATATTAAACGAAATATTTCGGTAGATATCTCTTATTCAATACATCACAAATTTCTAAAAGGTTTGTATCAATAGTTATAGTTTCTAAATATATCTATAAAGAAAAAGAAAAATATAATAATATATTGTTAGGAGTAAGTTGCGATAGAATTTTGTTTCCATTCTATAAATAAAAAGGTATAATTTTCCGGTTCCTCGAAAATTACATTAAGGCGAATCGAAAAGTTGATGATGACTCTTACGAACAAATTTTCGATACAAATATTTTTATAAATTTACCACACAGGTAATTTTATTAATATATTTTATTTATCACAAATATTTTTTTTTTACAGACCGTAAACATCGCAGACGCGTATTTAGATCCACGATTTGATCCGTCGGTGGATGATGGCACGGGATTCAAACACAACACTATTTTGTGTATGGCTATTAAAAACTCCGAGGGAAGAATAATTGGAGTTATTCAGGTATATTTAAGTTTCAAGTGCTTAATAATAATATCATCGCAAGCATTTAAATATCTTACAAATTTCTTCCTATAGAATAGATTTGTCACAGAAAGCCGTCGTTCTCAATACCTATCGCATTGTTAGTAAATTTCTTACATCATCTACTATCATCGTCCTCATATATAATTTAGAATCAATTATGCTAATACTTTCTAACAAAAGATTTATCTATGTGATTAAGCAATTTCATCGAAAATTTCATAGCTTATGTAATAATTATTGCTTCATATATTAAATTTAGCAATAATCAATTTACAACGTGCATTTCTTACTACGAGATATAAAATTAAGTTATTAAATACATCGAGGTGAATCTTTTGTTCTTTTTGGATCCTTTATTTCTTCATTTGAAATCGAACCAGTATGGCGCCTTTATTAAAAGATACTTTATTGAACAGACAAATATTTTTTTGCAATTACTTCCGCCTTCTCTACGAAGTCGTTAATAACTCGCTGAATTTATTCCATCATCAATCATTTTATGCTTTATTTACTCATAGCTCGTTTTCATAGCAAGAAAATGAACATAGAAGTGGGCAGTATAAGGAATGTAAATACATTATCCTGCTCTTGCCGTGTCGGTTTTATGACTTGCGATTGGATTAATGAAACGAAGCTGTATACAGAGATCTTCTTTAGAATTAGTGTAACTAGATATCAAAATTGCAATAATAATCTTTCCATTTCTCATTCCATTTATTCCACATGGTTGTGAGACTTGTTCATAAATTATTGTATTAAGTGATTAACGTAGGAAACAGCGTTCGCGGTATTCAAAGAGCGTAGAATGAAGCATTCATAGATAATGGTTATTCTGCCACTGAATACGAAGTGACAGTAATAAATTGTCTTGCCAATTCAAAATATGAACGTTTATGGAAATACGAGAGTTTAAATTAATCAATTGTGACACACTCAGTGTCTCTTAGTTAATCTGTCTCTATGTTCTACTCGTAAACGTGTTTATTTAATTTGTATTTTCTTTATCATTCAATGAATTTTAAGAAATGGTATGACTAATATGATCGCTACTTTTACGGAATAAAAATTATAAGATATAAAAAATTTAGATGTTCATTTCATAATTTTAATATAAAAAACTACTGTCATCGAGAAAGGAAAACATTGAATTAGTATTAACCAATTCAGTGACATCTGATATGAATTTACCCTTTCGAATTTGATCATATAGGCTTAATAAAAAATTCACAAGAACAAACCGGCAATGTGCGAAAGGGATAGCAAAATGCGGTCAATTACTATCATACGAGGGTAGAGTATGGTATACGCAGCATAGCGTCGTTAAAAGTCCACCAAGCTAATTAAAAGTCACGTTAATCTTTGTTAATTAATTTCATTATAATAGAGTTGTTGGCAATTGTACCAGGATTTGTCTCTTTTATTTCTAGTTTAAACTTTAATGTCTATTGATTTATAAAAATTAAAATAAATATGCATAATTACAGTAATTTTATTAAGAATGATTAAACACCCCATGTATAAACACAAATCTATTTTCAAGCATAAATTCCGTTGGGACATTGTATTTGGATATTTATGTCACATAATTAATTCAAAATATTTCCAAATTTATTAAACCCTGCATTTTTATAAAGAAGTATAGTTCTTCTTAATTTTTTTTATTAATTTTATAATTTTTACTACGAGTTTTATTTCAATTTTATTTCAATTTTCCAACTGAAGATGTATCCTCCATTAGACTAGAACTACAAAACGGTTGTGATAAAATTACTACTGTATTATTATTTACAACATTATATTATTCTGGTTTAGCTATTAACGATCACGCAGAAAATAGAATGTAGCTGTGAATTCACGCTAAATTTATAAGTGGCAGAAACTATATATTTTACAACTGATAGAAAAATGCGGTTATGTTCAAAAATTGTATTGCTTTTAAGTGAATTTAAAAAGTATTTATTAAACGATTGCGCACTGCGACAAATTCTGTTGTACAAAAGATCGAGGCCAATTTTAGGATAGTGTGAAACTGCATTGGTTCCATACTTTATGTTTCGTTTCGTTCGTTTTATCCGCGTTAACGGGAATAAGTAAATAGAATTTTGATAAGGCAATATCAGTTAGCTTTTACGATATCATTTTGTTCCTTAATTCCGTTTAGGCAATACCTTTAGTAATTTGACTTGATCATTTACGAATGTGTAGGAGCCTATTATAGCTATACTAACATTTGTGGCAGAGGACCCTTATCTTGAAAGTCATAAAGTTTGTATTAGAAACATACATTTGATATTCTTATTTCCCATATGGATAGGGGTTGTCCATAGCCCATTAAACTTTTCGACGTTATAACGCAAACAGGATTTTGTTATAGACTATTCCTGCTGAAATAAACTTATTTTTTATACTTTTTATATGTCCCTTCGTAATTCTACCGCAATAGAGTTATCATCAAAAACAACTGAAAATTTGTTTCTTATGTGAAAAATTCTTTCAATTACTGAAAACCACAATGTACTACGATAACGTTATGAATGTTGATTCTCACAACATTGTGAATTGGCGTGTGACAGGATACAGTATTATATCCATGTTTTAACTTTATAATTGCAATAAGGTGGTTGTGGCGTAGGTACTGTTGCGCTGACAAATATTTAAACCATTACTTTATATTGTTCGCAATGCATTAACTGAAAATTCAAAATTAATAAGTAATAACAGAACAACCTTAGTTATTGGATACTAAGTTATAGTTTAATGATATAGTAACATACGTATTACGTTTTTCTGAATGTCAATACACAACTTTGAATGAAAATTAAACGGAATGAATTTTTTTTATTAAATTATAGACTACTCGTTTATGTGTTAGTTCATGCACATTATTCTTTGCTGATATGTTATGTATTGGTAATATGTATGTATATGTATGATGTCGCCATTTCGTAAAATGTCATATTTTAGGAAATTGCTGTCACAATTATGCGATATTTACACGATATTGGATTCTTTTAAAAAATACATTGCGGTACCTATTAAAAGAAATCCAAGTATGTTTCTACGCAATATTTCTATTTTTTTTTTTTCTAAAAATACTATGAATTTAAAGTTTCTAAACAACTAACAGCTGTCTATAATGACGTAATAAAGGCGAAATTATCTAAAATATTTCGTAAAAGTCTCTCCTTTATTGTGGAATATTAAACTTGGTCTTTATTATAGGGTCTCCTACAACAAACTGTACTAAGTTGTTTCCATAATTTCATTATTACAACACTTTCATAACAAAGAGTTTTATATACTTTACTTACAATATATTACTTACTTACTTCGTAATATATTATACAGATAGGTATTTTATCTTCCAAAATTATGGTTACTGGGCTGGTGAAGTCGAGAACTTTTTGTCGGTAGATTAAATTTTTGAAGTTTCCATTCCTTTATATTCAGAATATATGAAGTGCAGTACTAATTAAGTACAGCGAGTAGTTCTTTATTATAATGTTTTACAGTTAATTTAATATGTATATGTTAAGTACAAAAATATATAAAAAATATTTTGGTATACAGATATATAAAAAAGAACTTTTTGAATAAGTAATTAAGGCTAGTGAGAGAAAAAGAAATTATATTATTCGAAAAATAGCTTTAATTACAATCAATATCTTTTTTTTTATGCAACATCACAATTACAAACAAACTGATGGTTCACCTGTAAAGCGGCAATTGTCGCCTATAAACATGAACAGCACTATCATCATCATCTCATCAACTGTTAATTATTCACTGCTGAACATATGCCTGCCCCTGGGGGGAGTGGGGGTAGTTGTTACGCTTAGTGGGTGGGTTGGCAACCGCAGTTAGGCTGGTGATGTTTAAACAGGAACGCTGCTGTTTATCCTTCGATCATTAAGTTTCTTTAACCGTCTTCGATGATATCTACGGGAACGGAAAAGGGGGTCGCCCATTCTATGCCGGGTTTACACAGCTTATAATTTAACCATAATTATTATAACTTGTATTTGCCACTTCTAAAATATAGATATATACAATGATAATGATATATATATATATATATATATATATATATATATATATATGTATGTATGTATGTATGTGTGTATATATTTCAATTCGACTTTAATCTTGACAAAATGATTATGCAATCAACACAAAAATTTAATTAACAATTTGCTCTATTACAGCTCGTCAACAAATTTGATGAACTGCTTTTCACGAAAAACGACGAGAACTTTGTGGAAGCCTTTGCTATATTTTGCGGGATGGGCATCCACAACACTCACATGTATGAGAAGGCCATCACAGCCATGGCAAAGCAGAGTGTTACGCTTGACGTGAGTATTGTTACTATAGAAGTATTATTTACTCCTCAATAAAGAGACTTCTATCGTGAACACACCGGTAAACTACGAGATTATACATTAATAAATTGCATTGAAAATTTTTCCTTTAGAACTCAAGTACATTTTATTTTGCAATAAGCAATGTTTTGTTCCTTAAAAAAGCTTTTTTCTTTTTTTTTTATACAACTTAGAATGACAAACAAGCTGACGGCCCACTTGATGGAAAGTGGTAACCGTCGCCTATAAACATGAGCAGTACCATGGACTACTGACAGCTTTAAGCGTCAAAATTAAAATAGGCCAGGAATAATACAGGAATATAATCCTAAATGTAAAATAAATTGTGGAATTCAGTTTAAAATTGGGGGCATAACAGTATAATATTAGAGATTTTCCTTCATTCGAAAGTTACCTTAAACTTGGTTGGTATATTTTTATGATTTACTATAACGACTACGTATTATTATATTATCCTTATATCTATTTTAGAATAATCCAATTTTAGAAATAGAATGAAAGAATAATAACGAATCTACTTAATATCGCAGGAAAAATAAAATCACAGAGACTCGAAGAAAAATGAAATAATGAACGGGAACTGCTATTAATATCTTTCCTTGCATTCGCGTCTCAAATTAATAATAAAATGAAATGATTTGTGCTATATCGTCGTCTTGTTTAAATTAATGAAATAACGTTTCTTATTAAGACTGAATGGAATGTTCTACCTACATAGGCATAAATGTGTTCGTTAGCTCATGTTTTTGTCGAATTTGAGAATGAATGATGGAAATAGCAGGTAAAAATAAATCTATGAAAAAATTAAAAGGCCCGAGTGGATAACGAACAAAGGTTTTTTTTTAGGATTCCCAAATAGGTTTTAATAAACCAGATTTTTAATGTACTGAAATACGTATGGTTGCAATGTATGACACAATTAACTATGAGAACTCTAAAGAAAATAACCAAATAGTATTTTTTTTAGTTTTTTGATCCACTATTTTCTTTGCTTGTTACAAAGAATTGGTATAATGATAGATAGATAGTACATATTTATTAATTTTTATCTACATTTAAATGTTATAGATACCGCTAAACATTTGATATTTAATCTTCCAAAGCTGTAAAGTTTTTTTTTTTAATAAGAACATTAAATGTATTTTTATAAATCTTTATAATCAAATATATAATGTAGCAATATTTTATTACATATTAGTTGTTCAAATTGAGTCGATTTTGATTATGTTTTCTCTAAATTCCAGGTATTAAGTTACCACGCATCCGCTTCGTTAGACGACGCTCAACGATTACGGGTAAGTTTATAAAGCTATTTGCGTAATTTGTCCCCATATTTCCAGTTCCGTTGGTCCCAATAATTAAAGTTTCTTAGATTGACCTACGATATCTACATAAGTATTGAACTATTCAAAATATTAACATTCGTTTTAAATTAACAGCCATGTAAGTAGGGAGAGAATCAATTAACAATTTCTTATAATCATTTAATGAAATTAAATATCGTATACCGCATTTTATTGAGGGCGTGACATAAGAATCCTTATTTTATCTATTTTTATTTTTATGTAGATGAATGAATTTAATAATAAAATGTTTCTAATAGAAATAGAATATATTATCACGAAAAGCAAAAAATAAAGCTAAATTGCTAAAAATTGGTAATTCTACACATTATAACGAATTACGTGTCCCTTTCTTAAATCTTAAACCCTAATGTCTTTTAAAGTTAGCATTAATATACATCCCTCAGTAGCAGTAATCAGACATTTTTAAGTTTTATAATAAAGAAACCATATTTACAAGATTTATATTTATTAAACGGTTTATGACAAATTTTGCAAGATTTTGCTTACATGTTTATATACATATATAATGCATTATACAAAATGCAATATAAATATGGTCAGTATATGTAATACTCAACATTGTAATATTCCTTAAAATGGCCGTCATCACAAAATGGCGGATGGTGATATTTTCTTAGTCCTCTTAATACGGATACCAAATGAAACAGGTTGAAGAATAGGTAACGATTATTATAAATAATATCAGCTTAAAATGGCTGCAGCCATAATATGGCAAATTACATTATAAAATCTTGTCTTTGTAAATGTTTTTAAACAGACTTGTATTTTATTACAGACTTTAAGGATACCGTCCTCTGTCCATTTTAGTCTTCACGAGCTAGATTTCGACGATATCGACCTAACAGACGATGACACGTTAAAAGCGTGTCTTCGAATGTTCCTCGACCTAGACTTCGTTGAGCGATTTCATATCGACTACAGCGTCCTCTGCCGATGGTTATTAAGCGTTAAGAAAAACTACAGAAACGTGACTTACCATAATTGGCGGCACGCGTTCAACGTCGCTCAGATGATGTTCGCCATATTGACTGTAAGTTTCTAAGCTTAACTTCTCATGCAGATTGTGAAATTTTATTATATCGTACTTGTGGACTTGTTTTGTTGAATAAGGATAAAAAATATACCATGTATATATTAATATACATTCTGAATATTCTGAATTATCAGAGTATGAGCTCGTATATTAAATTTAACTCAAATTCTACTATAATAAATATGACTATAACATCTAAATATTCAAACAATGATGATTTTATCAAGTATCTATACTAATACAATAAAACGAGAGTTTATTTGAATGCGCTAATCTCTGAAAGTACTAGTCGAATTTTATAAATGATATTTGCTTTTGGTAGGCTCATTTCTTAATAATACGATACGACTACAAGCGAAGCCGCAGAATATAGCTAGTTTGTAATATTAGTTGGATGATATTGTAATATAATTTTATATAATGTAGCTCTCTTTTTTATATGCAGTGTTGACAAATATTTGCAATACAGATTTAAAATAGAACCTACAGCGGATTCCTCTATCTATGATTAGGCAAGTTACATAATTGTAGTGTTCTGTAACAGACAGTCATCCCCAAAGGCTTCTAAGATCTATAATGAAAACGGCGTTAACAGGTGACAGTTGTTAATATGAAAAGTTCTGTGTGACAAGTTTGTCACGGTAGAAACTACAACTATAGGTATATTGATTACTATTTATCTATCTATTGCCATGATAATATAAAACAACAAAATGAACTTCACCTTGTTAATGAAATTGAAGCGTTTGATAAGAGAAGTAATCGATATAATATTGTATTGATTACTTTTCTGATAAGATTAATAATTATTATTTGTAGGTATAATATTAAATAGATTATTTTGCATATTATAATTAGGTTCACTAATTAATTATTATCTAGGTATATATTTTTCGTATTTTCACTATACTAGAATACTTTAAAGTTTACATTGTAATGTAAGTTATTTAAATTGCAATGTAAGTCAGGAGTCTGAAAATAAAAACATAAAAGTATTAAAAACCAATATTATTATTGTTACCAATGATACTTTTCTGAGATCTTGAATGCTTTTCGTTATTTTCTTTAAATATTTATTTACTTATATTTTTTGCTCACTTCGTAAAACTTTCTAAAGTTTTTGATCTTGGTGTTATAAATACTTGATATAAATTTATGATATCCTGTACAGTGTCATTTAACGGTAAGAATGTCCTACCGCGTTACTTGATGGTGTTAAAAATATAAAAATAAAAAATAAATATATAAAAATCCTCGAATGATGTAAATCACACGGAAATTTAACGGATATAATTTAGTTAAATAAATAAGGTTAAATATTTTAATCTTGTTCATAGTCGTCAAAGATGCCTATAGTATATCATAATAGCAATTGTAAATTGACCACTAAGACCTTCGTTTCTTATTTAATTATAGTGTCTTACATTTATTTCTAGGAGACTCAGTGGTGGAAGATTTTTGGAGAGCTAGAATGTCTGGCTCTTATTATCGGCTGTTTGTGTCACGATCTTGATCATCGAGGGACCAATAACTCTTTTCAAATCAAGTAAGTTATATTTAATAATCGTAATTCAACATTCATTCTTCATATTACCAGTCACAATCCAATGGTATAATAGACACGAATCCTGCTTCATAATACAAGAATTATAATTAGCTACTATACTACCATTACTAGAATACTACCATTTTGACCAAGCCTTCTGGCTTGGTATGTAGTTTTACTTCAAGTTTTTCTGTCTTATTATATTGATGTTTTGTGTTTTGCTCCTGTAGTTACCTTCACATCATATCTTAGTGGTGAAAATAGTAATGACACACATTTTTACTTTATCACTACGCGATTATATTATAAGTTATTTATCGCAATTTAATAACGTCAAACTTATATTATGTTACATATTTCAATGGAGTTCTGCTTGTTTTTGTCCCTACTTACTATTTAATTTCTTAAAGTTTACGTTATTTTTTGCATTTTTTTTTATATAAATAAAGTACATTTATATCTTCTAATATTTGATGAAAATGCTTTAAATAATTTACAACCTTATGTGAAAACTATTCTTAAAAATTTATCACTTTTTTCTTTATCGTTCTACTCTAACAACCTAATTAGTCCGACTATATTTTGGTAAGATTATACATACCTATGGTAAATATTGCTTTTTTTTTTCTCAGAGCATCGTCACCTTTGGCACAGCTGTACTCAACATCAACAATGGAGCACCATCACTTTGATCAGTGTTTGATGATCCTGAACTCACCTGGAAACCAGGTTCTAGCAAACCTATCTTCAGAAGACTATGAAAAAGTAGTTAAAGTACTCGAAGATGCTATACTATCCACCGATTTAGCTGTATATTTCAGGTAAAGTTTATATTACTAATCCTTATTATTATTATATAGAAGGGTTGTTTATTTACCAATTGACACTTTAAGGGCTCAACCATTCGTCATTGAATTTGTCACGTAAATGTTGTCATTGAGAACTAACGTCGGCTTTATAAATCCCTTTTTAACCTGGTTAATAAATATTTCTAGTCACGTGGATTACGTCGCAAATAGCCTAACTAGAAATAAATACAAGTAGTTACTGTTTTAAATTTGTTATAGACACCTAAATAAAATCTTAAAGTTTTTACTAAACATTACCTGAACATTTTATAAACTGATAATAGTAGAGAAGCTATGACGTAATCTTATATAATTTTAATTATCTCTTTATCTGTTTCTCTATTTATCTGTACACATTGTATTTATTTATTTAAATTTTATTTACCTATGAAGGTAATAAAGATGGACTTAAGACTATGATCACATATTTTACTGAACTAAATGTTATCTTGCGGAAGTCCATATCGCTAGTTATTGGATTAGAACTAATTTGTTTAATTCCACTATTATTGATATGTATGGATTGCCAACAAACAAAGATTGATGCGACTGAGAATTCGCAGTTTGGGGGCCGAGCGATTAATACTATAATAATACAGCCTTTGAGCAGCGATCTAATAATTTGCCTGAAGTTGCCTCGTTCAGAAGTAAAATACGTGTTAAGGTGCATAAAGAAAATGCCAGTCGGAGATTGATGGCTAATGGAAGGTTGTGGAACTTCTGGTAGTATCTAATAGTGGTGGACAATCTTCGAGTGTTAGCAGTCACACACATAATAATGGTAGCGGAGTTAATAATTTTATTCAAATAATTATGATCACAATCGCCCTTGTTTAAAGCCATTACCGAGTATAAAAAACATAATATTTAAGTAGGTACAATGTTTTTATTACAAAATATTTTTTTACCGACGAGAAAAAAAGAACTCTGCGTCACCTAAGTTCAGAGTGCACAAATAAAAAAACATTGCCCCCAAATTAAGTCGAACCGGTTGTGTAAATACACAGCTCAGTAACACACACCATGGTAAGTTGATTGGTTTGTTAGGGTCGTAGTAGTTAATTGCGTAAATGTATCACGCGTGCACACATACAGAGTTTGATTGTGGCGTGATCGATTCACTTATCTATTAATGATGCGGAGTTAGTACGCACTGTTATTTTTCATCCACGTGTTTTTATATAACATGGAATGGAAACCTAGCAGACGATCCTAATTGTATATAGTAGTCCTATTTAGATTAAAAACAAAACCATGGACAGCAAAGAATAAACTGTGACGCCATTTTAAGCTTGTTCACATAGACTTATTGTTACTTACGTTGCTATTTCTGAAAAATCTATATCTTCTTATTTCACTGCTCTTAACTTGTGTAGTCATTCTAATACAGCTGTTTCGTAACAGAATACGATGGAATAGAGTTATCTATAAAAATGTCTTTTATAACAAAGTCTGCACATGTAAATTACATACCACCCTCTACAATCTACCCCATTGTAAATGTTTCCGGTCTGCGAAGAAAAATAATATTGAGTCAAGCGAATGTTGTTTTCAGTAAACGGAAACCCTTCATCGAACTAGTGAGCGTTGATAGAGCGGTGACACCAGCGTGGGGCGAGTGCGAGGAGCGGCGAGGTTTACTCCGGGCTATGCTGATGACGGCGTGTGACCTCGCCGCTATCACAAAACCTTGGCCCGTCGAGCGGCGGGTCGCTGCGTTGGTCGCTGGTGAATTCTTCAGACAGGGCGATCTGGAGAGGCAAAACCTGAATTTGACACCTATAGTAAGTATTTGTTTAATATATATTAGTTGCATGTTTTCAATGCTACGCTACTTGAAGAATCCACTTCAGGCATCCCATAAAAATACTTGGCACAGTTTTTCAATGATAATAATTATTTAGAAGATAATTTACATAGTACGTCAGGTTAAAACGTCTTCATCGCGCTACCCCATCAAGTGCTTTATAATGTGCTTCATATGCAGATAACCGTTGAAAAGATTTCCTACCTTCGATTGTTCATATTCATGGATCATTCTATTCTTGTATTCGTCGGTACGATGGGCTCATGTCAAGTCGTGAAAAAAAAAATAGTTTGGTATCGTATCAAAAACAATTGAGAAAGTCATACGTATACTCTTAATAAAATATCTAATAAGAACTGCAAAAAATTTTATATATTAAAATTATAATAATTTATTATGATTGTATAAAATGCTTTTACATAAATATGTTGTTATTTCCTTTTGTTTTGGCCGGTTTTATATAAAAGTACTATATTTTTAAAGATATTAAAAAATATTTACATTTATTTATTTATTTATTTATTACATCCACTGGGTGAGCCTTACAGTCTTCCAATACGCCCACCCAGGAAAGCATGAATACAACAACATATAAAAAAAGGAATATTACATATATACAACAAGAATAATATAAAAAGACTTAAACAAAAACGTCTGAACACAAATACTCCGTGGTCACCCGACGAAACTCCAGCAAGTTGGAGGCAAATACATCCAATTGCGGATACTGGCTCAAAATATCATTGAGTAGTTTCAATGCAAGAGATAGGGGAGCCTGCTTAGCGAACTCTGTTCTTCGTAATGGAACATCGAATAAGTGCCGTCGATGTGCTCGTACGTAGTTACTGGGCGCTCCTATTGATATTGATTCCAGTACAGTTTGGTTACACTTTTATATACATACATGTTATTATATGTTTATATACATGAAGTACATTCATATATTTTTTATTTAGTGTAATTTTCTTAAAATTCAGCGCCAGATTATGGTGGTATGTAGCGATTTGATAGATGCAACGTTAAGTTTCATCCTATTTCATATACATACGCAATATCTTTAATAAAAGAATATACCAATATTCATATACGTTATGGAGAATTAAAGCATTATTTTTTGTTTCAGGACTTAATGAATAGAGATAAGGAAGATGAACTCCCTGCTATGCAAGTCAAATTTATTGACACCATATGTTTGCCTATTTACGAGGTATGTATCTACAATATTATAGTATTAAACATACAAAAAGGTCCCGCCGTGTTTCCTTATGAAATCTGCACTGGCGTCTTTGTTGACACTGGTAGCTTTGATATATCGTTAGTGGTAGTTAGTGCTACTTGTTGGAAATAATTTTTGACCAATTATCAAACCCCTAGCTTTATTCGTTTTTGAAAAATGGGGGTTGCAATCCCAAACTTTAAAATTATTTTTCTATGAAACTATTATAAATATTCGAATAAAACTAAAGCAACATGGAGGCTTCTGTCTTTATATTATATATTTTTTTTTTTATAATTTTCCAAATAATCATAATATCGCAAAAAATATAAGAAAAACTAGGTATGGTTTTAGTGGTTATTTATTGAGGTACACCGATAAAAAAATACATATATTCAGTACATATATAACTACAATACATAATAAACATATTTAAAAAAAAATAGTATGTAAGTAGGTATAATATAGTAAACTGTTAGTAGTTGACACTCGTAATATGAGCTAATGAAAGCCCTTCTTCAGTTTTCCTCTTACAATATAATATGGAACTTTCTAAAAAAAAGTGCCTATTACATTTAAAAGGTATTTTTATTAGTTGGAAGTATCATATTACAGTACTCTCGAAATTCATTATTACACTCGTCAAGTAATTATTTCGTATTATTTAAAAAAAAAAAAAAAAAAGGAATCTTTTTATCTTATTAGTGGAACTTTTTAGGACCAAATAATATTTTATACAAACGTTGGTCCTGATGTTTAATTTTTGAAATACTTAAATTTGTGTACATTTTGACGTTTTATTTTGTATTCTGGTAATTACTGCAGTAAAATTTGATGATTTTGTGTTTATATTTGTCGTATAGATTTAATTCCTTGAAGTAGGATTACAAAGTTACTGATGTAAATGTTTAAATTTATATTTTCTAATATAAATTTTCAATATCAATCGTATCTTATTTCAGGCATTCGCGGTATTGTCACCAACTTTACAGCCAATGCTCGACCGAGTGAAAAGCAATCGAGCCCATTGGATTGAGATGGCCAATAATGGTGAGAAAATCGATTATTCGGTCCACGATAGAGACCATATTAATGAGAGAAACGACAAATCGAGTATCAGCTCGCAAAACGTGGACGACACTGAGAACACATACGAGGGAGACAGCAGCGGTGCCGTAAGTCTTTCATCGGAGACCAACTCAAAATATGAAAACCTTGAAAATCCTGTCGTCGGTCTACTTTGCAACAACGTTCTCACTATGCCCAGGGATCCCAATAAGTTTTGTCATTTACATGATTTAAATTAATTAAAAAAATTTATATGACATTGTGATATAGTGAAACGCGTCTTATAAATGTGGATTGCGTCCATACCTTGTTTCGAAGGCCAATAGAGAAGCCAAATTTTAAATTAGCATATACATTCTAGGTTTTATTCAAAACCACTGTCCTTAAGTGTAAAGTTAATAAATCAAGTATATTTTTTCTAGATTATGAAATTTGGAATTTTATTTTATTGTTTATATGTAACTAATCGAAGTTTACATTATAGTTATGTAACTACTCTTATCTTCAAAACCTAAATATCTGTTAAAATAACCGTCTTTTTTCAAGCTAAATTCTTAATTTGAAAAAAGTGACATAATACACTAATATACTAAATATTGGTTTATTTAAAGGAGATTTAAATTTATATGAATATGGGCCAATTTATTATAAATTAAATGAGTACCTACTCGCTTCAAGCACAAGCATCATTTTAAGCATGCACCCGCCGTGATTCATAAACTCATATCATTTTCTATTGGTCTGCTTGAATCCAGGGACAATTTTTACGAGTGAAGAGTTATCAAGTAAAAAGTGTGTCGCGAACGGATTGTGTGATATTTGTGTAGTAAATAGTAAATAGACGATTTTAGTCGAATTTGAAATTCATCTAACGCATGGCGTACCTATATCGGATAAGTGGTCATGATTGTCGCACTATTTTTGTACACTTCATTTTAGCTTTACCTTTTTTAAGTACCTACCTTTAAGAAATCTTCAAGTATGTACCTAAGTGTGACTTGACACTTTCCGAATGCCTTATAACAAAATCACATTTAGCTTCTATTTTGTACTCGAGTCTATCGTTTGAGTTATGTATTAAGAAATAATACCATTTATAAGGAATTCGGAATGTGTACGGTCGCAATAAATGTGTTGATTTACCTCATTCGCCTATTCTTATGTATTACATGAAGTTATTCATGTATCGCTAGATTTCGTATCATTTAAGATACATTATATAATTTTCAATTCACATTGAAGATTTATTTTCGAGGGATATTCTAACAGTAGAAAATGCAGGGCCTAACTGTCGTAACGTAGTTATCAAACAACTGACCAAAATACCAAAAAGTTTTTAATAAATTGTTGACTTTTTTCTAGTTACAATTAATTGCCTACCTATTAAAACTTAAAATATGCAAGCTATATAGTATTATAATGTATGATGATTGGATTTGACCTTTTTAAGTTCATTAAATGTAATACATAAAAAGTAAGTTTATATACGAGTATAATCGCATCAACCAGAATTATACACCTGGTTGATTCGATTATTTAATTGTTGCATATTATATCTTATTGTTTGGGACTTATGATTTATATTTTCATTGCTATAAAGTACGCACACGATGTCAATGCAATAATGAGCGTTATAGAGATTCTTTTCTACAATAGAGCGTTTTAGAAAATATAAATCTATTTTTATTTCAAAATATTGATTTTTTCTTATAAACTATTTTTACTTTATAAGTTATATTATTAAATATTTTGTATTTCTTTATATATTTTTATTTAAGTAACTTTTCTTTCTATCAAATCGAATTCTATGTAATGGTATCCACTTTTCAAATAAATTCTATAAGTGCATGGTATATTTAAAACTTTTCGAGATTAATTTAGTGATAGGCGTTTGTGTGCGTACTAAGTACTTCTTAATGCCCTATTTATATTACTAAGACACTCTCATACGCATGTAAACGGTAGCTTTCAAGTGATTTAGTACTATTCGCTTTATAATCCTCTCATGGCGAGTTTTTAGTAATGTGAACAGGGTCTAATGTTTGCACGTGTAAATAATTGAACAGTACTAATGTACTGTATTTATTTGGTAAGTACTTATAAATTTTTATTTTTTCGTAGACCGTTTTATGGAACTTTTGCCTCGCAATGACTTATCTAGAGACAGTTATGGCACCCAATTATCCATTCCAATGTTTTTTTTGCAGTCAATCGTTTGTGTCGTCCACTAATATTACTTATATATAAACAACAAAAATAATTGTCAATTAAATATGTAATCGAGACTTACAATTATTATTTTTATAAATTTTGATTATTCTGAAAAGCTTTTTATAATGAATATTTTGTTAACTGCAATATATTTTTTTTTTGGTATTTTAAATATTCACTCTACTATCGTATTTTATTTGTGACTTTTATAAATAACTTTGATTTATGATTTAATGTTTAATGTCCATGATAGCACTTTTAAGCCTAGTTTAGACTGCTTTAGTAATTTAGTACAGTCGCAAGTAACTAAAAAATACTGAAATATTAGATCCATATGCAAATTCTCAAGATTACTCGACTAAATTGCTAAAGCTGCCCGAACTGACCTTACGGATGAGTGTTTACGGCAGTTTTTGCTGGCGCTGTTGACAATCATCTGTAAGAGATTTTCAGGTAAAAATCTGTTTAATTTCATGCTAGATATATTATGAAATAGCCAGGGAGAAATGAGCCCAAAAACCTACAAAAAAAGTTCATAATTCAGGAACAAACATTTTCGATTCGATTCTATTGAGTTCGATATTGAAATATTATTTATTGCAGTTTAACAAAATATTATATCGAAAGGGGAAATATTATGACTATTCTATTATAAAAATTATAACTGAAAATTTTATATTAGATAAATAAAATCGGTTGGAAACACAGTAAACGTAGATAAACGTTATTTATAATCGTAGGAATTAATAATATCCTGTAATAAAAGTGATATCGTTGTTTCCTAAACTGTAGAAAATATCATAACATTTATTGATATTGAAAATTTATCTCTTAGCTTAGAGCTATAATTACATTATCAAATGTACAATTTGATTATATTGATCCATGATATCAATATCGTATTCTTTTGCCGGAAACCTTTCATTTTAATTTCATAACTTTTTTCTTATTATACTGTGACGATAAAATTAATCTGTGCCGTGCTATAAAAAATATAAGCGTTCTATACCTATCTATAATTAGTAAATCGTTATGCACTCTTACACATATACTATCTTTTTGAACCTTTTTAGTATGGTTGATAATTTGACAGTAAATAAAAATGCGATTACTGCGTTTCTGAACCTACACTACCATAACACTTTCTTTCTCTTTCATAAAAAAAATAAGACCAATTTCACTGACAAAAAAAAATACAAAAACAGTATTTTCTAATTGGAATAATTCTCTCTATAAGCGTATAGATATTTACTACGTGAAAAATCTCAAATTAATTGTGGTAATAAACTATGTACAACACTAATTTTAAGATTATTGTAAGTATTATTAGAAAGTAATTAGAGAATTAATAATTGTAATTCACTAAATGAAGAGTTGTATGGTGTGTGAATAATAATGGAGGTTGTTTTGTTCCAAACAAAAAATGTTATTTATTTATGATTAAACAAATTTTGAAATATATAAGTTATTTATTTGTCCTTATATGTGAAAATGTGTCTCTATTCTCTGCCTTATGCTAGCCTTAAAGATAATTGGAATTTATAATAATAATCATCATCTTAGCCATTGCTCGTCCACTGCTGAACATAGCCAACCCAAGACTGCCATAAGGAACGGTCCTGCCCCACTTGCATCCACTGACTTGCTGCAATACATTTGCGGTCGTTACCCCATCTAGTGGGGGGTCGTCCTACTCTGCGTTTACCCATACGGGATTGCTACTAAAGAACCTATGTGATCAGCCCTTATCCTTCGGGCTATGTCGGTTACTTTGGTTCTTTTGCGGATATCCACGTTTCTAATTCTATCACGCAAAGAAACTAAGCATAGCGCTCTCTATATCTCGCTGAGTAATTTTCAAGCTTTTGCATACGGGGTTGTCTGTATGTAGGTAGAACCATGTTTCGGTCCCACAAGTCATCACTGGATTGTTTAAAGACCACAAACTTAATATAACGTACTATGAAGGCCTTCGTCTTGAAACTTTGAAAAGTTTTAGATGACAAGGTTTAATATATTTTTCCGAGTAATAATAATACCTGCCTTTTATTAATGCCTTCTATAATGTAACTGGTAATCTACTCCACTAGAGGAAAAAGGGATCGTTAGTAATGGTGTTTAATCGTCCTATTGGTAGCAGTATATCTTATCAGGTCGACCTTCCCGGTTTCCCGTGGATTTTTTTTATAATGGATGATAATGGAATGGTAACTCCGCCTGCGCTATCGGTATACACTGGCGAGGCACCAGTAAGGGATGACAAATGAGCATGAAAGCACGTCTGTAAGTCCATCATGATGAATGCAACAAGTATTTACACACAATATTATACTATTTATGCACAATGGTTTCCAGAGGGAACCGCGTAGACAAGGCTTGCTAGCAATGGAGCCATTAGTTCCCATTACTAACAATCTCTTAAGTGGAAATTATTTTAGTTAACCCTTAAATGCCTGAAGTTTCAAATTTGATACCGGGTTTTGCATTGTTTCATTGTTAAATAAATTTAAATATTTTGAATACCGTAATGTCTAAAGTATCAAAAATGATACCAAATGTTTTTTTTTTCAAAATAAATATATAAAAATATCGTTTTGATTTTTTTTTACTATTTTTTTAAATATTTTTTATATATTGATTAAATTGATTTAAAAAAACAGGCTTTTAAAGGTTAATAATTGTTAAATTTGCCACGACGGGGTATCAGTAAGAAATGATAGGTGTATATGAAAGCAGGTCAGTTAGCCCATTGTGACGAATTCATCAATAATTAACCACGATCGTTTTCAGAAAAAACTGCATGGAAGTTGACCTGTTAGAGTATATTGCTAGCAAAGGGACTGTTAAATCCCAGTACTAACAATTCCTTTCCCACCAAGGATGAGAAGTTGGGGATGTATACCGATTGTGCAGGCAGGGTGACTATTTAATTTCCATCTATTAACTTACACACGTAAAAACTTACTCCACCGTACGCCGGATAGCTGAGAAATACGGGTTTTCTCAGCTAATTCGAATCCTCTCGGATTGAGTTAAATGAATTATGACACCTTCAAGAAAAGAGCATATTCCTTTTTAAAAGGCCTGTAGCACACATGCAATGCCTCTGGTGTTGCGGGTGATAGTGAGCGGCGGTAGTCACTTACCATCAAAATAGCCGCATGCTCGTTTGCTTAGTGTGTTATAAAAAAAGTATTCCCGACTAAATGGTAATAATAAATTTAAAATCGATGATCCATTTGGCCTCTGCAACTTTAACTGGAGAGGAATTTAAAGGCAAATACAATAGTACTGAGTTGTTATATTACTCATAGAAAACTACATGTGAAATAAAAAATCTAATTAGATTAATTTGGATTCATAAAACAAGCGCTCCCCAACGTTTACGAGAAAGTCAATTATTTTGAATAGATGTTAGTTGTAGCACACTATATTTAAAAGGTAAAACATTTAAAACTCCGGGAACGCACAAGCAACTTTGTGTAGCAGATGTTCATGAGCGTCGGTAGCCGCTTTCCATCAGGTGGTCAATATGCTCGTTTGCCTCCCTAACAATAAAAAATATGATACATATCATACCGTTGACTTGTCACATAGTGGGCACTTACAGTCTTTTATAAACATTATAAGTGTCCACTAAGATATACATATAGATCATATCTAGCGAAACGTTCCAAAATTTCACTGAAAAAGAATTATTATCTAAAGGCCGTTATTGCAAATGCACATACAGGATGAGAGAAAGTAATTTTTTTTTAATGAGTGATAATGGAATGGCATCCCCACCCGCGCCATCGGTACACACCGGCGGGGCACCAGTGAGGGATGATAGGTGAGGATGAAGCAGGTCAGCTAGCCTACCGTGACGAATCTAACAATAAATCAATCACGATGGTTTCCAAGGGGAACCACGAGGAGGTCGACCCGATAGAGTATATTGCTAGCAACGGGGCTATATCCCCATTGCTAACAATTCCTTCTCCCCCCGAGAGACAGTAGTATATGTATGTGTCAGTACGTAGTATGTTATACCAAGGTGTTATATACTATGATGTCAGGTATGGAAGGTGCTGGCATCTAGTAAAGACTGAACGCACTTGTGTAGAAACACAAAATTAGAACTACCGTCCGCATTACAACTTTTCGGAGCATCTGTGACTGTCAAAGTGTGTTAGCATGTAGATGGCGCTGTTTTATAATAAGTTATAGAAATCTGTAGAGAATTTAAATTGGAATTACGGCCATTTTCTACCATCGTATAGCTCGTCTTCGATAGGGAATTAACCACCTATACATTAGAGCCTGGATGATTTTCGCAGATGTTTCTCCCACGACGATCAGATAATGGAATGAGCTTCCTGTCGAAGTTTTTCCAAGAGATTAAACATAGGGTTCTCCAAAAGAGAAGTAAAGAGTTTTTTTCAGTGTCAGCAACGTATGCGTAGTGCATCTGGTATTGCAAGCGTTTATAGGCGGTAATTGCTTTCCATCACGGTGGGTCTTATATTTGTTTGTTACCTGAGTGGTATAAAATAAATGACTTGTTTTTATTTGTAGGTTATGTTGTATAATTTACTTCCTTATTCGCTCATCGTCGATTCATTAAATCCATTTGTATTAATTTTGTTAGGTTTTTTTTAAAACACAGAGCAAACGAGCATGCGGCTCACCTGATAGTAAGGCAACACCAATGGCAATGCAGGTGTGCTGCCGGCCTTTTAAAAAGGAATATGCTCTTTTCTTGAAGATTATGATGTCGTATCGGTTCGGAAATACTGCTGCTGGAAGTTGATCTCAAAGAGTGGTTGTGCCTGGTAGAAAGTGTCTTAAAATACGCACGGTGGAAGACCGCCACTCGTCCAGATGGTTGGGATGAAACTTTAGTTTATGGCGGGTTGTACGGTGTTGAAAATCAGCAGCGGGTAATAATCCGACCAATTCCTCAGAGCACTCCCCATGATAAATTCGGTAGAAGATGCACAGAGATGCAACGTCTCTACGCAGTTTCAGTGGGTCGAGTCGGACAGTAGGGCGCTGACTATTAATAATTCGAGCAGCCCGCCCTTGAATGCGGTCTAGCGAAAGGAGCTGGTACTATGGTGCTCCTGTCCATAGGTGAGAACAGTATTCCATATGCGGCCTGACTTGAGCTTTATACAATTTTAGGCGGTGTTCTAGCATGAAATATCGTCTCACTTTATTGAGCACTCCTATCTTTTTGGAAGCTATATTAACTTTTTCCTCCAGATGACTGCAAAACTGGACGTCGCTAGATATATCAACACCCAGAACTCCACGACTCGACGTTCTATCAAGGGAAGCGCCCTGAAAGTGAGGAAATATGACAAACGGCATCTTTTTTGCGGCGAACACGCAGATTTGTGTCTTCCTAGGGTTAAATTGGACAAGATTTTGTTCACCCCAGATCGAAACTTGATTGAGTGATGTTTAGGTCCTCGGAAATATATTTTTGTCCAAATACAGATTTTTGTATTAACAACATTAGCAGACGACGTAGGTATCTATTTCATCTTGATCTACTGATGAAGTCAAAACACTATGTAGACTATTCCTTTTTAACCCCGGGACTTTTTTTATGAGCTGACAGAACAATACTAATCCCATCTGCGCTATCGGTATACTCTGACGGGACCCCTAAGTGAGTATAATAGGTGAGGATGATGTCAGGTTAGTTAGCTAATCGTGCTGAATTCATTAGGAACCAATATTTTGGTTAATTCCACCATGGAAACCACACAGAGATTCACCGGATACTTATTGAAGATATGTATTTATTACTTTTTCTGTATTATTTTGAATTAATAATTAGAAATAAAGACTCTAAGATCTTTAATCCCAATATATATAAAATTACTAATATATTACAGTTAAAAATATAAGTATTTGCATACTTAAATCGGCTGGTCGACTTACTCGGCATCACCAATAATTTTTTTTCGCTGTCGCCGTCCAAGCTTTTGACTATCTACTTACGTCAGGTAGGTTAAGGTAGGTAATAAAGGACGCTAGGTGAAGTTAAAGTCAGGTCAGTTATTTCATCGAGAGGAATTATATAATTAGGAATATACAGAAGATATAGCGTGGTGGTTGAGCTTACCTAGTATATTGTTAGTAAACCTGAATCTCCAAAGATGGATATGTAGTTATAAATTTTTATTTTTCAATCTCCACAATATATTATAGTATACAGTTTATTTATTAAAAAATTTCAGTGTAGGTATATGCATATAGTGGAGGTTGATAGCTGAAATAGAAATACCTGTGCTACAGCCACCAGTCTATTCCTACAAGAATTTTTTTTAAATTTCTTACTAATTTCATTTAAAGTGTGTTTCTTTTATAATTTTAACAAAACTTTGTAACTTATTCATTAAATTCTGTTGAAATAGACTTTAGCATATTTACACAAATTGTAGGTTAATAATTTTCATTTCCCGCCATTA